TCCCCACTCCTGCATCCTTTGCAGACATCTTTTGACTGATATTCTTCTCGCAGCACCAAAGGAAGAAATATTTCCTTCTGTACAGAATTGTGAGGTATTGAGCTGTCAGAGCCTGCAGCAGCATTGGGCTCCTCTCTAGGGGATAGCAGTGGTCAGGTTTCCTTTCTGCAGGACATGCTCTAAGGACAAGGGCCTGTGTCTGAGCAGAGATGTCAGAAGGCAGAGCCTGATCACCACTGACTGTGGGGGAGCCAGGGATGTCTTCGTCACCTCCAAGAGACAGTGCCTGAGAGGGCCCCACTGCCATGTGTCCCATCCTCACCTTCCTCTGGGTATGATGAAACATCTTCTAGTTCCCTGACACATTTGCAGCATTGAAGACAATGCCTTTCTTCCTCAACATCTCAATAAAATGTCCACCAATAATAGGAATATACAGAGGCAGAGGCGGGGATGCAGAAAGATTTAATGACTCTGAAAGAGGGAAATAAGTTCACTTCGAGAAGAGGTGGCCAGATCAGGGAGAGCACCAGCAGCTGCCAAATGTCTGCGCCCATTGGCCATGGTGGAGATCCCAGAAGGGATCCATCAGCACAGAGGGAGAGGGGCCAGTAGATCCTGCAGCTTGGCTTTGGGGGTCTTACATACTAGAAGAACAGAAGAGAATAAAGAGATGGAAGGCAGTAGAAGGCAGGGGAGACAGACTTTGACACTGTTACCAGAGAGGCTCTCCCTTGGAAGGATGCTCAGCCTCCCTGAAATCACTGGCCAGGAGCTCTGTCCTCAGTCCAGCAGGAGCTTCTGGGTTCCTGGGGTCCTTGTGCGGGCTGTCACCAGTGGCTTTAGCATGGGGGGCACCTTCTGCCACAGTAGCGGCTGGTAATGCAGGAGAGGTCAAAGCCCCCAGAGTTGATGGGCACTCCGTCACAGCTGAGGATGCTGCCAACGGCAGCGGAGGTGGAGGAGCCCACCACGGTGTTCTGTGGGAAGGAGCTGAGGATGGGGCCGGGCAGGGTCACCACCACGGGGGAGGGCTGGATGACGATGGTGGAGTTCTGGCACTGCCTGACACAGGGCTCATTGCAGCTGTTGGCCAGCGGGGTCGGGCCGCAGGGCTGGCAGCAGGGCTCGCAGGGCACACATGGTCTGCAGCAGGACATGTCTTGTGACACGATTTGCACCTGCAAGATAGTTCAGGGAGGATAAAATATATGGGGTTGCGTGAGGAGCAGCTTGTCACTGCAGTATGAGGCTGTGCAGAGATGTATGAGGTATTCTTGACCTCATCACGCCAGAGCCCAGAAAGAGCCAGCAGCTCCTATGTAGCTACTCTCTACCCCGGAGTACAGAAGCCTCCTCAGTACTGCCCCAGCCTCCTTCCAAGCTGAACCTCCCCCCACTTATATCTCCCATGACAAGCAGCCCCAAGATCTGGTATGGAACAAAGCCGGTCTCAGCTCACAGGTTCACTGAAGTGAGACCTCCTTTGTGAGAAAGCAGAGAAGGAGAAGGGACCTCAGACTCACCTGGTTCTCAAGGAGAAGGAGGCAAGAGAAGTGGATGAGAGAGCGAGGAGCTCTGCTGGCTTTTATGCCGGACCTTTACTGCCCCAGGCTGACAGAGGCATCCCTTGTAGAGGTGGTTATTATCTGACAAGCTCATCCTGAATGCAAAACATCCCACCTAATGCTATGGGCTGTGTTTTGGCCTCCGGAATAGCTGTCTTTTCGTTTCCTGCTTTATGCCAAATACATTCCCCAGTGAAGACATCTTTTGTGTGAAATGATGCCAGGCCCATCATTTGCACAGCAAAACACGTCAACATGAGCATCAACTCCTTACATCCTGGAGGAGTCCATTAAAGGACACTCAAGGTAGACTAAACAGCTGCATTAGACAACACACAGACAGACACACAAATATGTGCATGTGAACACAGATGCACACACACACAAATTGAGACCTCTAGTCATTAAGAGTTAGTTGATGAGATTCAAGATGCTAAAAGAGAGACGTCTACACTGTCCACAGATGTCTTGGAATGGACAGAATTATCTCCTCCAAGCCCTGTTTTCAAGGGAAGACCGATCTGTGCTTCGTGAGAGCAGAAGATGCACCTGATGACAGTAACATGACCAGCTTGAGCCAGTTCACTCCCACAAAAGCCCGTTCCCTGCTCACTCTCTGTCCCTGAGTACCGTGGACATGGATGTGGGCTTTAGGCATGGGATGGAGGTGCTTGTAGGCGCTGGCAGGAGAGACTGTGGGTTCTCACCTGATCACATGCTGAAGCAAGCCATGGAGATGTGACCAGGCAGGCTGGCCCTGCTGTGAGCTTCTGCTGTCTGGGGAGTTCAGAGGCCACTGTGGGTCAAGGGCAGGGTCAGTGGCTCAAGAAAGAGGATTCATTCCACTCGCCGTGCACATCTGCTTTGGGGTGGGATAATTCTCGTGTGTGAGCTGATGTCTCTTCAGTGACTGTGGGAAGGGTCTGCAGGCTCTGCTAGAGCCAGTCCAGAGGAGGCCAGAAAAATGATAAGTGTGAAGGAACAGCTCTCCTCTGAGGAAAGGCTGAGTGAGGTGGGGTTGTTCAGCCTGGAGAGGAGACAGCTCTGGGGAGAGCATCTTGAAGCCCTTCAATTATTAATTGGGTGCTTTTAAGAAAGACAGAGAAAGATGTTTTTGAAGGGTCTGTAGTGATAAAGGGGCAATGGCTTCAAACTGAAAGAAAGTAGGTTTAGATTGGTCATAAGGATAGAAATTTTTCTGATGAGGGTTTTGATACACAGAAACTGATTGACCCTAGAAGTTGAGAATGTCCCGTGATTGGAAGTGTTCAAGGTCAGGTTCGATGGGGCTCTGAGCAACCTGATCTAGTGGGAGGTGTCCCTACCCATGGCAGGAGGCTTGGACTAGATGGTCTTTCAAGCTGCCTTCCAACACAAACTCTTCTATGATTCTGTGAGTCTATAAATTATGCCGGTAAGTGAGTCTGGCTTGAAAGATTCTCTACACAGGAATATATCTGGAATCTGAGTTGGTCCCACAGGGCTGGAAGGACATATCTCCTGAGGGGATTTTTTTTTGTTTTACCTATAACCCCTTAATTACCTATGTTTTATAAGAGCAACATGCATATTTAGTAGGAATGAGATCCAAAGCATGGCAGAGAAGTCACGAGAGACTCCCTCTCCCTCATCTGGAAGAGCTCATTTGGCCAAGTGCATGGCGGGAGGAAGGTGCAGCAGCACTCTGCTGTTTTATCTTGTGTCCAGACATGACCTTCGTGGAACAGTGAAGACACTGGTCAGGGGTGGAATGTGCCTGGCAAGGGGAGGCAAGAGTGTCTTTCCAAATCCCTGCAGAACTGGGAAGGAGGAGTTTAAAGTAGGTATGGAGGGGGAGGTCACCACTGACTGAAGAGCAGGGATGTCACAAGGGTAGAAGAGGTATGCACGGGGGAGCAGCATGCCAGGGGAGGCTCTCACACTTCCCCTGTGGCGCAGGTGGTAGTGTACTTAGGTGGCTGCTACACATCTCCTGCTCAAGAAGAGGAGGCAGATGACACCTTTATCAGGCAGTTGGGGAAAGCCTTGTAATCACAGTCCAAAGCCCAGGTACACATGGGTGACTTTGACCACCTCAGGATCTACTGCAGGAGGAAAATGGCTGGGCACAAGCAAAGCAGAACATGTCTAGTGTGTATCAAAGACAAATATTTGATGCAGGAAATCCATGAAAAGGTAATGCAGAGACTCTCTTAGACCTGCTGCTCACAAATGAGGAAGAACTGTTGGATGATGTGAAGTCCAAGGGCAGCCTTGCCCTCACTGTCCAGGAGACTGTGGAGCTCAGGATGCTCAGAGGACTGACAGGACAAACAGGAGGATGAGTGCCCCTGACTGGAGAAGAGCACGGCTTAGTCTCACCAGGGACTTTCCTGCTTGGCAGGATACCATGGGAAACTGCCCTGGAGCACAGAGGGTCCCGGGAGAGGGGGTTAACCTTCAAGACAGCCTCCTCAGAGCACAGGGATGGTCTCTGCAATGTGCAGAACGGCGAGTCAGGAAAAGCCAAAGCACAGCTGGATTGGAAACTGGTAATGGAGGTGAAGGGACACAAGAAAGTAATCTCTGAGCCGATTGGCAGTAAAAGGAAGGCTACGTATTGCTCGGTGAGGCAGGGGACTTGGTGACAAATGACCAAGGGAAAAAGCTGAGGTACTCGATACCTATTTCTTCTCAGTGTTTACTGGTAGGGCAAATTTTCAGTCCCACCACACCCTGGAACCTTCCCACAGAATCTCTGGGAATAAAGCAGCACCCACAGTAAAAGAATAAACAACTCCGGAGCTCTTACTCTCACCTGGCGATACACAAGTCAATGGGATCACTTGGGAGGCATCTAAAGGCGTTTTAAGGAGCTGACAGGACAGTTTCTACTCAGTCCCTGGAATGGAGATGGAGCAAATGTTCTCAGAAGCCGTTCCTGAACTCCTGAAAGGGAAGAAGGGATTTGGGAGCTGCTGACATGAGTTAACTGAGGACAAATCACGCCTGAGCAACCTCATTGCTCTCTGTGAGGAGGTGACTGGCTCTGTGGGGAAGGGGAGGGGCACTGGCTCAGCTGTACCTGGATTTTAGCAAGACCACTGACATACGCTCATGCGTGCACACACATGCACACCTATACCCGCACCGAGGTACGCACACACACAGGCATGCACACACAGAGACATGTGTCATGTCTGAGCACTTATAAAGAGGTGTGTGCACACAGGTTTCCAAAGGAGCCCACGAGCAGGCACAGGCACAGCCGCCCCCCAAACCAACACGTACACACAGATATTCAACACACATGCTGACATATTTGCATCCTCCTGCACCCATGGCTGTGCAGATACACTTGCACATTCACGCACAGCGCTGTGCACACATAAAAGCACATACCTACACACCCCTGTGCCCACACACTTACATCTCTGCAGACCATTGTCACACCCGTCCATGCTCAGCTGCATGAGGGCACGTGCATGTGATAAAACACATACGCCCTCATCATCAGATCTGCACAAACACACATGCTGCCAATATTTGTGCACACTCCTACTTGCCTGTGCATTGCCCCAGGAACACACAGACACACGTATGTGCAAATGGACAAGTGAGCACAGCCAGAAGAACATGTATGTGAGCATGAACATGCACACACAGCTCTGACAACCAGGAAGTTCAATGCCAGTTCTGAGCCTCTTGTGAAGACAAGTCCTAGGCAAGTCCTTCAGGCCCTAGAGTTAAGGCAGTGAATCAGTTCCTGACCATTGCCATCAGCTTCCGTGAGATCAGGGGTTTGACTGGGCTTTATTCAGGTGTTTCCTTACGAGAAAATCTGCCATGGCCTTTCCAGGCATTGAGCCTCTGTGTGTTCAAGGTCTGTGTGTGAAGGATAATGTAAAAAATAGAGAACATCCACATTGCTACAGTCACAAAGGATCCCCACATCACAAGTGAGACAACAGCCTTAGAGGCTCCCAGCTGTGCTGAGTGATCTCCTGAAGGGAGATGTGGGGATGGGGGACTGGCCCTTGCTCTGTGAAGGAATTCAGTAAATGGTGTCTCAGTTGTGTTTTCACACAGCAGCAGAGAGTGGTGTCCCTGGGACAAGCCAGACTCCCCACAGACTAGACACTGAGACTGGGGCACCAGAAATGAGGGTGGTGGGTTCCAGTAAAAGAGGCACTAAGCCTCTTCTAAGCATTCCTTAAAATGTCATTAATTAGAACTAAAGCGAGAGAGGATAGTATAGGAACCTTACATGCTTCCCCATGCTGGGAACCCTGAGCTGCTCTACATCAGCTGCTCTCCCAGAACGAGAGAATCACAGAACAGTTGAGGTCAGAAGGGAACTCTGGGTGTCATCTGGTCCAAGGGCCCTGATCAAACACGGCCACCTAGAGCCAGTTGCCCAGAACCGTGTCCAGGTGGTTTTGGAGGAGGGAAGATCAGTGACCTCCCTGGGCAACCCACAGCAGTTCTCAGTCACTCCCACAGCACAGTACAATGTGATGGCCCCTTGCCAGGGCACAGGGCACTGTCCACGTCCGATCCACACATGGATTACCCCACTCGGGTCTGTCAGGCTTTTAGAGTATTTTCATCAATTGGAACTGGATCTCATCATCATTTCACCTGTCTAACACGAGAAACTGGCCAGTGTTGGCAGTGAACAAATACCAGCAGCTTTCACATCCCTGTTTCATAGGGTGTAAATCAAGTTGTACAGCACAGGAATAAGTGTGATGTATAGAACAGCTCCTGCTCTGTCAGTTCATGGTTTACATCACCATAAATAAAACTTAACCTCTGGCACAAATGCCCTTAGGCTGAAGTGTAAAGCCTGCATGGATCCTGTGCCCTTTTCCTACGTTTGCAAGAGCTCTTCATTTGGGCTGGCAAACCAGGGCTTATGCCAGGAATCAGCAGCAGCACTTTGGCAGTGCTTTGGCCAAAGGCCTTACTCACCTGTCAGGAACAATGCCATCCCTCCCTCTTCTACAAGGACAATTGCAGACAGGATCATCATTGCC